ATGGGGATAAATTACTATGGGGGATGAATTACTATAGGGGGGGATGAATTACTATGGGGGATGAATTACTATATGGGGGATAATTACTATGGGGAGATGAATTACTATATGGGGGATGAATTACTATAGGGGGGATGATTACTATAGGGGGGATGAATTACTATAGGGGGGATGAATTACTATAAGGGGGGTGAATTACTATATGGGGGATGAATTACTATATGGGGGATGAATTACTATGGGGGATTAATTACCATATGGGGGATGAATTACTATGGGGGATGAATTACTATGGGGGATGAATTACTATATGGGGGATGAATTACTATGGGGGATGAATTACTATATGGGGGATTAATTACTATATGGGGGATGAATTACTATATGGGGATAATTACTATGGGGGATGAATTACTATGGGGGATGAATTACTATATGGGGGATGAATTACTATGGGGGGTGAATTACTATGGGGATGAATTACTATATGGGGGATTAATTACTATGGGGGATGAATTACTATGGGGGAATAATTACTATATGGGGGAATAATTACTATATGGGGGATGAATTACTATGGGGGATGAATTACTATATGGGGGATTAATTACTATGCTTACTATGGGGGAATATTACTATACTTACTATGGATGACACATGCACATCATTCATCTACTCTTGGTCCGGCCCCCGGGTCCAATATATGAACCCATTGCGGCCCTCAAGTCAAAAAGTTTTTCAATAAATTTTTTTAACATTTTCTAATGGTGGTGTGCCTCGTGATTTTTTTCATGAAAAAAGTGTGCCTTTGCACAAAAAAGGTTGAAAAACACTGCTTTAAGCATTCTTCGCTTGCTTATTCCAGATTACAAGCTTTACAGATACATACAGTTTGGAATGCCTACGAAATGACTGCAGCAAGATGTAGCCACTCGATAGCTACATCTATAACACCTACTATATGCTGCAAAGTCTTCTCGAACAAAAGCGTGCTTTACCTGCGTACATTACAGATTATGAACTTCCGGTAACATTGAGAGCACATCAGTGGATGTTAGTTGAAAATAGTTTATTTATTTTGTTAAATGTTAGAAGAGACAAACTCAGCTAATGCTTCTGTTGCTGTAAGTTATTCCTTTGATTACTGCACTGAAGTGCCTCCTAGGAAAAGAGTCAGAAACAGACCATGGTGTAAAAATGGCTAAAACCACTTTATTGGAGGCTTTATTGATCGCTTGTGCATTTTTATTTTTTGCGCTATAAAAAAAAAAGACCAACAATTTTTAGAAAAAAAAAACAGTATTTTGGACTTTTTGCTATTATACATGTCCAGTAAAAAAAAAAATGTAATTTTGTCATAAATTTAGGCCAAAATGTATTCTGCTACATGCCTTTGCCAAAAAAAAATCCCAATACTTGTAAATTAATTGATTTATGTGAAAGTTATAGTTTACAAATGGCGGCATAGATACTGGAATTATTTTGTTTTTACTAGTAATGGTGGCGATCAGCGACTTAGAGCGGTGGACATTCTGACACTGGGGGGGAACTGACTTGGTGTCACTGACATCCCCAATGACACTAATACAGTGATCAGTGCTTAAAAAAAAAAAAAAAAAAAAAAAAAAAGCATTGACACGATCAAAGGTTTAACTGTGTGCTGGGAGTGTTTTACTGGGGGGCAGTGTGTTGGTGCTTCACTGTGTGCTGGGGGAGTGTTTTACTGGGGGGCGGTGTGTTGTTGCTTCACTGTAAGGACACTGTGCACAGCCATGCAGAGCAGTGTGCCCGAGCTGACAGGGAGGAGGACTGTTCATAAACAAAGCATCCCTCCTCCCCGTTGGAGATCCTCGGTAATCACCAGCCGGGACCTGGTAATTGACAACCACGGCTCACGCATGTCCCGTACCCGGAAATGCAAAATCACGTGTATATATGTGATTTTGTGCACCCCTGCCACCCTGTAGCAGTATTTCTGCTATAGGGAGGCGGGGATGTGGTTAATAGGGAAAATATTACTATTTTAATTTACATGAGACAGATTAGAGACCTTTTGGCATTCTATTGGGTAGTTCTATTTATTGTATTGCCAAATAATAAAAGTGAAAAGTCTACATAAACAGAGGCTCTTTGCCTCATTTTTTGTCAGATTTTTGTATGTTACTTTCAAGAAAAGTTATTTTACGTTACTGGATTGTATTTTTTAAATTCATATTAATTTAAAGTCATGATTTTAAGTAAAAAGTCGAATATAATACAATTATTTATAAAAAAAAATATATATCCTCCACTCCCCCTACCACTCCATCCCCCACAGCCACTTCCTCCTGTACCACTATCCCCTCCCTCCCAGATTGTAAGCTTGAAAGAGCAGGGCCCTCGAACCCCTCGTGTAGTGTATTGTCACTGTATTGTCTTATGTTCTGTCCCCCACTATAATGTACAGCGCTGAGCAAACCTTTTGGCGCTATATAAATACTGTATTATAATAATAATAATAATATATATTTTTGAAAACTGTCCATTTCGGTTTTCTGTCAAGTGCATTCTGAATTTTCGGTTTCGGCACCAGAACTTTCATTTCGGCGTACCCCTAACTATGACAATGTTATCAAATTAATAGACCCACAGCTGAAACTGGTTATGATTATGTAAATATATGTACAGTATATAGTATGTAGCAATGAAGAACATGTAATGTACTGTATACCAGAGAAACCACAAGATATTTGAAGAAGTAAAAGACAGATGAAACATTTATATAACACCAGATAAATATCTGTACAGGTATCTTCTGAATAACATAGATATAAATATTTAAAAACATATCTGCAGCACAGAGTTCTGCAACTCTCCACAGATTTGCTTCCTTATGGCAGTGTCAAAAAAAAAATCACATTATTTCTACAAAATAATACAGTTAAAAAGGTAACACACACACACATCCATACATTTTTGGTCAATGCAAACGTCCAACTTTTTTAAAATGCATCCGTGAAAACATCACCACTTAAAACAATTACTGTACATTACATATATACTATAAGAGCAGATGTGACAATTCTGAAACACAGCCAAAGGCAGTTAAGTATAGTTGTCCTGTTTGAGAAAGGAAGATAAATGGTTCTCATCAGTTACAGGTTTATCATAAGGAGCAGCAGGAAATGGTCAGAAACAATAGATTTCATTTAAGATCATCATAAGTAAGGAAGTGCTCTGCAATCATGTGCAATTTGTTTTTCAGTCCGTTCATTTAAATAGGCTGAAATCACACTGGATTGCATCAAAAGTAGAGAATGCACACTTTTAAAAATGCACTAAAACTGGATGTATGGCACTTCAATACTATATGATCTGGTGCATGCAAACACACTACATTTGTAATCTGCATTTGGGATGTCGTAAGGAATCTAATGACACCTGCAGCAGATCGCACCCCCAGTGTGCTTGTACCATGGATCTTCCAAACTGTCTTGGTGTGAACTGGCCTTAATGAGCAAAAGAAGGAAAACCATCTTGGCTGCCTGTTAGGCTTTTTAGACATAGCCAGGGAGTTGAGGATACTACTGTCTGTACAGAGAAGTGAGAAGCCGACTTGGGACAACTAAAAGTGGAAAGCTTTTTCAAATTTTGTTTGCCTTGAATTGAAAACTATAGGTTCCCCTCAAAGTAACTTGTTTGTATGACAGCCGTGCCCATCCATCCGTAAAACGCACCATGCCTGCACACCCACACCTCCTTGCTCACCCACACAGCCTTGTGTAAAATCCAGATAATCCTGCTCAGAATTTATACAAATCTAAGGAACCACCCTTATCTAACAACAATCAGGCTTGGTAATTGGTTGCTCAGGTAGCTAGCACTGCATTGTTAGAGGAACGGAAGGGAGTCACAATTCTGGCATTGTAGGAGGAATGAAGGGAGTCACAATTCTGCCATACTTGGAAGTACCAAGTATTCAACCGGGTTGCAGCAGGTGAACAAAATTTGGAGGGAGTGCAGGGGCAGTAAGTATCAGAAACAAAAGAGGGCTACTTTCCCTTATAGCCCTATCTACACCTATTTGTGGGGCCATTCTGAGTCAGTAAAACCCTGGGCCTTCCTACATCTTTCCATTGGCCAGTGAGGCAGCCCATTTTAATAATGGGCCAATATAAGTGCATGGGGCCAGCAGGAAGCAGGAAAACTCTGACATTACCTGGAAGTGTCAGAGTTTTGTCTATTCAGAAAAGACATTTGGGTGTAGACTAGGCAATGAAAAGCAACTGCAGGCACTTTATATTTCTGCAACACAGTTATCAAATACAAATGTTTACATATCTACAGGATATGTATGAGAATTCAGATTGGGTTGACTAAAGCTGGCCATACACTAGAAGACTTTTGAACGAACCTTCACACAAACATTCGTACGAAAATTCTCAACACGTTTGTTGACATGATGAATGTTGTTCAAAAGTTCTTCAACATTTTGTTTGATTTTAACATTCAATTTTCTCATCACAGCGGTCGAAAACAAATGTCCCTTTGACCACAGCGGAGATCAGAAAACTGAACAAACGTTACACTAGAAGAATTTTGTTTGAAATTGTTTACGTTTATGGACAGCATAATGAATGATGCTCTATAATTGGCTGCCAGGATTAGTTCTACTCTCTGAACATTGATATTGAAAACAGCAATATATTCTCTATTTGGTTGAACTGTTCAAGGAAAGCACTTTTAGGCAAAGATTATTAAGCTTTAGTTAACTGGCCACAATCACCAATACCATGGATACATCTTATATAATTTTATGGTATACATTGGGACATGGCAGACTGTTTTCAATTGGCACATTGTGTGGTGCTAAGATGGCAGCTGTGCTATATGACGGACTGTCAAAGTAGTAGAGGTTGGTAGAAGGACACAGTTGTGCTTTCAGATCTCAGTTCCTGTATATTGAAGACATGTTTATCACTGAGGCAGGAGGGTGGTGGAACCACATCTTGTAGGACAGCTCAGTACAGACTGGTCTTCTTCATTATTCTGAGGAACTCTTGTTCATTCACTTCCCCATCTCCATCTCGGTCAGCTTCATCAATCATCTCCTACAGAAAAAAAAAAAAAAAAGGAGTAATTAAACAGATAGAGCTGGCAACATAGTACTGGGAACACTGTTGGGCAGGTCATCATAAAACAGTTCCAAGAGGACCTTCCCCAGTCACAAAACAGTGATATGGGAGCATTTCTAACATCACTGTCATTACAGACTTCTACACATTTAAAAAAAAAAACAAGCTGGACCAATATAAAATAAAATTCATACTTAAACTTCAGTTTTAACCACTTGCCATCCAGAGGATTTACCCCCTTCCTGACCAGGCCATTTTTTGCGATATGGAGCTACATTACTTTGACAATTGCATGGTCATGCAACACTGCACTCAAATGAAATTTACGTACTTTTTTCCCCACATATAGATCTTTCGCTGGAATTTGATTGCTTGTGTGGTTTTTATTTTTCGCGCTATAAACAAAAAAAAACACCGACAATTTTGAGAAAAAAAAAATTTTTTTACTTTTTGCTATTAAACATGTCCAGTAAAAATTTTGTTTAAAAAAATCAAATTTCGTCATATATTTAGGCCAAAATGTATTCTTCTACATGTCAATACATGTAAATAATTGGTTTTGCATGATTATAGCGTTTACAAATGGTGGTATAGATACTGGAATCTTATTTTTTTTTACTAGTAAATGGCGGCTATCAGTGACTTATAGCGGGACTTCAGCGAGCATTCTGACACTGGGGGGAACTGACTTGGTGTCACTGACATCCCCAGTGACACCAATACAATGATCAGTGCTAATAATAAGCACTGACACTGTACTAATGGCACTGTGCAGGAAGGGGTTAACATATGGGGCAATCAAAGGGTTAACTGCGTGCTGTTTCACTGTGTGCTTTACACTGTAAGCACACTGCTTTGTATGGCTGTGCTATGCAGAACCATAAAAACAGTGTGCAGGAGCTGACAGGGGAGACATCTGTTGTGGACTTTGAAACAAGCTCTCTATAGCTGTAAGCATTGTGGGAAACTTCACATTCAAAGTGATATTACTGTATTATTTTGAAAGCTTAAATATTTTAATGATCATAGTCTGGGTACAGGTTCACTTAAAAGGACCTGAAACAACTTTGATATCAGTATTCTGTAAACCCCACGGGCATCAGGACACACGGTGGGCCAGCAAGAGGAGATTTTGACACTTTCCTTTAATACATATTTAGTGAGAGGGAGCATTCTGAGAGGAGGAAGCCAGAGTGAGTAGAGGGTTACCTCATCACTTTGCCATTATCCCTTCTTTGTCCAACGAGCAGGCTAGGCATGCATCCCAATATTGGAATGCAGGATTGACTGCATATATTTCAAATGTGCATTTAGCAGTGTGGATTTCAGTTTTAAACACCAGAATGTAATCCATCTGTCAGTTAAAAATATAATGCATTACATTCTTTCTTCTACTAACTTTAACCACTGTGGGCAGCACAGTGGCCAAATGGTTACCACTTCTGCCTGGCAGTACTAGGGTCACTGGTTTAAATCCCAGCCATAGCACCACCCGTCTGGAGTTTGCATGTTCTCCCTGTGCCTGCATGGGTTTCCTCCGGGTACTCCGGTTTCCTCCCACACTCCAAAGACATGCTGGTAGGTTAATTGGTTCTGGTCTAAACTAGCCCTAGTATGTGTATGTATACATGTGAGTTAGGGACCTTAGATTTTACACTCCTTGTGGTGGGTTAGGGACTGAAGTGAAAGTGAGATAGATAGATTACACGTGAAGCACTGTGTAATTTGACGGTGCTATATAAGTACCTGTAATAAATAAAATAACTTGGCTAATGACTGCTTAATACACCAAAATAATAATAAGATGATAGTCTTCAGTGTTTGTGCATCCACCAATCTTCAAACTCTGAAAACTGCTGCCCTCTGCTGTGTGGACTCAGTTACTAACACTGTTTCAAAATATTTGAGTCAAAAGCAGAAAAATAGAGATAGAATCAAGCTATTAAAAGAAAAAATATAGTTCCGAATAATAATCAAACAACAAACCTGCAGCTCTTCATCGGTCAGATTTTCCCCAAGCTCCTTTGCAACTCTTTTAAGATTTTTAAAAGAGATCTTTCCAGTTTCATCATCATCAAACAACCGAAAAGCTTTCATGATCTCTTCTTTTGAATCTTTTTCGGCCTGGAAAAAAGGGGATTTTTAAATTGATGGTAATTAATGATTCTGCTATAAACAAAGTTATCTCAACATGTATTAGTTCAACCTATAAACTTACAGTACCTTACAATTAGTCGATTTTAGCCATGGTAATTGATTAACAAAAAAAAAAACAAATGATAGTCAATCTAAAATGAAAAAATGCTTTCGTATTATTGTTTTAACTGTAAGAACAGGAGCAATTAAAACCCAACTCCAGGCTTTGTCCAAAGTCAGCCAAACACTTACTTTTCAAAAGTCCTCAGGCTGGTAACCTAACACATAATGATGAAGAGAGCAACACAATTGTGACATGATGATGCCCACCAACCTCTGCCACTAGAATAAATATTCAAAACTGCATCCCTGAAATGCACATAAAAATACTCACCTCTCCTACTGCCTGCACCCATCAGTCTATGCAGCAGTAAAGAGTAACTGTCAGCTGAAGATCTTGCAGAATCCGAAACTCCTGGAAGTGACGGCAGTGGTTTATTCCACTGGCCTTCACATCACTACTGTGTCCTGTAGTGACATAGGGGTCAGTGGGAGAAACCATAGCACTGGTCAGTGGGCCAGGATCCTACTTTCCCAGAAATGCCTGCAGGATCGTCAGCCAGCAGTTTCACTTCACTGCTGCAGAGCACCAGGAGAGGCAAGAATTCCATGTCTTCATTGCAGGGAGCAGTATAAATATATTTTATTATTTATTTTATTTATGAGACGGTCATTTAAAGTGACTACAAGCTAAAACCTTTTGTTTTCTTTACTTTTGTATAGAGTGAGGAGGGATTAGAATGCCTTTCAGGTTCATGGCTGTCTGTGTCCCCATAAGGGAGATTCACCTATTTCTTATGTCTACCATTATCACGGAAAGGGAAAGTGAAAGAAAATCCCAAATTTAGGGTTGTCCCCAGAATAGTAATATAGGGGAAACCTTCCAACAGGAACCATACTTCTGGTGATTCTGGTGACTATCAGGGATCTCACTTCCTTTTTTGGCTACAATACAGAAAGTGAAGGGAAATCTCCCCAATAGGGTACATAAAGCAAAATGACAGGGTTATCACCCTCACTACTGTATCCAAAATGGAAAAAAAAACTTTGAGTTACTGATTAAAACAAATCTCCAAATAAGGACTTCTCACTAATCAATAATTTGTTTTGTGTCTCAGAGTCAGCATAACAACCAAGCAACTATCATTATCTCTGTAACCCTAAACTGGTAACCTGTAAACTTTTTTAAAGTGCTGCCTATGGAGATTTTTAAGTATCGTAGTCCGGCACCATTCCACAAGTGTGCATATTGTTTACCAAAAATTGGGTTATATATTGTGGATTTTTTCATTAAAAATCATAAAAGTTTATTTTTTCCAAACAAATTGTGTTTCAAATGCAAATACCATGTGACGTAAGGAATGGCAGCCATTTTAATATCTAGGGTCTCTGCTAAAAAATATATATAATGTTCTAGGGGTTCTAAATCATTTTCTAGCAAAATAAAATATGATTTTCACATGTAGGAGAGAAATTCCAGAATTAGCCTGTGTGGGAAGCAGTTAAAAACCTGCACTACAAACGGAGTCCAGTACACCTGAACCTTAGACAAATGAAAGCCAAGAAGCAACTGTGCGCTGTGGATAAGGAAGAGCCTTTAGAGGAGATTTACTAAAACTGGTGCAGCTGTTCATGGTAACCAATCAGCTTCTATCTTCAGCTTCTAAAAGCTTTTACAATAGAACCTGGAAGCTGCACCAGATTCTGTGTGCTCCAGTGTTCTGGAAATATTTTCTCTTTCTCTTGAAGTCATTATGTAGAACTCACCATCTTCTGGGTCATCGAAGACAGGAAATCACTGAAGCTGATTTTGCCCGTCCCCTCCTTATCAATATCTGAAATCATCTTCTTAATTTCCTCCTTCTTGGGCTCAAATCCAAGGGCTCGCATGGCAACCTGCAGTTATTGGAATATGTTAGCATTCAAGGGAAAAACTGACCTCCTGTGACAAAAATCATTCATGCAAATGCTCAACCTTTAAAGCTCCAGTTCCATCAGTGAAATTTGTCCAGAGCTTCAATACAATGCATGCAAACTACTATATACTTTTCATCACTGCCAATATATCACCTACACATGCCACACTATGATGTGGTGTACTTCTATTTTTGCCTGTTCCAGACTGACAGCTGAGCAATGAAGCTTACTGCATCTTAAAGGCATGTTGATAGTCAGGACTGTATTTTATTTACAGTACCATAGAATGATCAGCATGGCCCCGCTTACCATCCTGAAATGTGAATTAACCCTCTTATTTTTGGGATATGTGATAGAATTATATATGTGAATACTTTCTGTTCTAAGAGGGCTCTACCATGTTACGCTTTTTTTATTTTTAAGGGAGGATAGTATGACACCTTCAGCTTGTAAAAAATATAAAAGTAACCCCAAAAGTAATTACACCAGCATATTTTTATTAAAGTCATAGTAAAGCTTTAACATTTTTTAACATTAAAGTAGCAACCATGTCATATTTACCTGCTCTGTGCAATGGTTTTACACAGAGCAGCCCGTTCCTGATCTTCTGGGGTCCCCCGTCGGCGATCCTGGCTCTTTGCCACCATAGGAAGCCACTTTCCATGGGGCACTTCAGCGTGCTCAATGGTGAGCTGCGCAGTTTATGCCTATTCAGACACACAGCCCCCCTCATCCCAACACCCCACTCTCTGCTCACAGGTTTTGACGATAGCCACAGGAGCCAATATGCTACGTCTGCTCTCAGTCAAGCCTGTGAGAGCGGGGAGAGGGGAGAAGAGCTGCTGTTCTTGGGCACAGTGCTGGATGAAGATTGGGCCCAAGTGAGTATTTAGGGGAGGATCTACTTATATAGAGAATGCATTAAGACAGCGGTCTCCAATCTGTGGGCCGGATGCAGCCATTTGCTTGCCTTTATCTGGCCCTTGAGGCATTATTTCTATTTCCGACTAATACGGGGCACTGTTGCTCATGTTGACATCAGAAACGGGCATAATTCCTTCCACTTACGCCAACAATAGGATTGCTATTCCTCCTATTGTTACAAACAATGGGGCACTATTCCTCTCACTGATACAAACATTGGGGTACTCTTCCTTACACTGATGCAACAATGGGGTGCTCTTCCACCAACTGATAACAACCATGGGGGCACACTTCCTCCTACTGATACTAACCATGGGAGCACTTTTCCTCCCACTGACACCATCAAAGGGGCATTCTTCTGCCCCCTATTACCAATGATGGGGCACGCTTTCTCCTGCAGACACCAACCATGGGGCACTATCCCTCCCAATGATACCAACTATGGGGCACTTTTCCTCCTACTCCACCAATTATGAGGCATTGTTCCTTCCACTGACTCCAAAAATGGGGGGTATTCCTCTGACTAATACCAGTGATGGGGCATTTTCTACTCCCACTGGGAACATTCCGGCCCCCCTAAGGTCAGAAAAACAGTAAACTGGCCCTTTGTATAGAAAGAATGGAGACCCCTGCAATAAGGTAAAAAACCTTTTACCTTTACAGGAACTTTACCTTTGAACTTTAATTTGAAGAAAGCTAGTATCCTGATGACAGAACCTGTTAATCTTGGAATATCATGAACACTAAAAGCTAGTTAAAGATCTCACTATCACCAAAACTCATTTTTGCCATTGGTGTATTGCTATGCTGCTTGACATACTTGTTGCTCAAATGCTTCTCTATATATACCCTTGTTCATAATGCTGACATTGTGCAGCACAGACAATGCTGTTACAGAAATTAATAATTATAATCACCTCATGAAACAATGACAAATAAAAGCAGCACAAAAAAAATGTGAAACACAATAGAAAAGTGGGAATAGGATACAAAATATAACACTTCAAAAAATTATACACAAATATTTAAATCATTTGACATAACTCCACCAAAGTCATTATTCAACCAATTATCATTGTGTTGTTCACGTGGTGATCTCAGTGGATCAATAAAGTGCACTCAGATATCACCACGTGCTCCAGAGGAAAACCTCCCCCAATTCAGTGGCACTCACCAGATATCGTGGCCCATCCAAACCTGATAGGCAATAGCGCTTGTGGTGAGTGTCAGCGTAGTACAGATCATCAATCAAAAAGCCCTTCATCAATTAGAGACTGATATGATGGTGGGGCATCCTCCAAACTATTACATTCCATAATCAGGGAAAGATGTGAAAGTAAAGTCATAGCGTGAATCAATTAAAAACCATTTATTGGATAGAAAGTACTGCACTCTCATAAAATAAATGAAAGCATGCCAAAATATCCACAATAACCGTTAAGGGTATCTGCATATCACATGGAGCGAGCATCTCACCCGATCCTCCTCGCTGCTCGCGAGCAATACGCCACTTCCGGCAGGGATGTACTCATCCCAGAGTACATCGTACGGCCCGACCCTGACACATGTTGCGCCACCTAATTTTATCAAAGGGTTTGATGGACTTATGTCAATGATTTAAATATTCATGTATATTTTTTTAAGTGTTATATTTTGTATCATATTCCCACTTTGCTATGTGTTTCACATTTTTTTTTTGCGCTGCTTTTATTTGTCATTGTTTCATGAGGTGATTATTGGATTATTCACTATTAGGGCAGCTGCATGTTTACACATTTTATGTACTCATTTATTTATTTAGGTGAGTGATATATTGTGCACTTTTTCAGGTCTTACTGTATGTATTTTCACACCACACTTTTGCGAATAATATAATTATTCAAAATCAATATATAAACCGTATAATTAACTGTAATGGTAATGAAGAAAAGTGAGAAAAAACTGCTAATTTTTTGTATTTAACTCATTTTTTTTTTGAACCGTCACCTTTAGTTCTTTAACATCGATCGTTCCTGTGCCATCAGTATCGAACAGATCAAAAGCCTCTCGAATCTCTTGCTTCTGCTCCTCAGTCATTTCCGGCTTTGGGACAGTCTTTTTCCTCTGAGTTGTCACTCCTAGCGATGGTTTCTTGTAGTTGGATGCCTGTATGTCGGTAAAATAAGTACACATAACCAGAAATCTAGGTAGATTACGTTTTACACTTGTATGTTAATTTTTGCTTTTATATTAAATATGGAGATCAAATATGTTCTGTCCCTAGGTGTAATGTCACTTATTATGTCATGATCCAGTGAGCTTGCTACTCATTTCAAAGGTAGGTTTACTGAAATAGAAACAAGCAAGCAGAATATTACATAGGAAATGGAAGCGTGGTGCAGGGCTGCTTAATACCATAGAGGTTCGACTAACTCCAGCACACGGCACAAGGTTTGCAAATAGGACTTTGGTTTTCTACTTATGACTACACCCAACAATCACTTCTTAACCTCTTGCCTCCCATGTAATGCATATGTGTGGTTGCAAAGAGGATGGGCTTTACAGCCCATATGCCACACATATCCATGGGCAGCAGTGCATTCTGTACAAAGAACGAGCTCCCAGCTCAAAGACAGCTTTTGGTCTGTACTAATGATCAGGAGATAGCAGGATCGGCTCAGGATCATATGACTATTGTGACAACCAATCACAGTGGTCACAGGATTAGCCGATCACTCCCCCTTCGCAGCTGTACAGACCCTATTAAAGGGATGCTGGAACTGGGCAGGAAGTGGTTAAAAGTTGTTTTTCGAGAAAAAAAAATGACTTCTATTTAGCCTGTACAGTGCTGTAGTACAGCTCTGATAGCATGCTGTTCACTCTCCGCCCTGTCTATTCAAAAAACGTTTTGGTATTCTTTTCATAGAAGATGAGGGAAGGTGCAGATAAACGGGACAATCTGCCCCCATCCAATCACAGAATGCCTTTTATTCTGTGAAAAGAATACAAGACATTTTTTGAATGGACAAGGTGGAAATCGAGCGACCCACAGTCATCACTGTACTACAACCACAACTGTAAGTTTCAGCACCAGATGTTTGGCACTTACAGTACTGTACAGGCTAAATAAAACTTAGGCCTCATTCACACTGGCATACCTGTGTTTAGCCTTTCTAAATGCAGAAGTAGTAATATTTTCTGCCTCCCAAATCATTGTTCCTATGTTTAGATTTAAAGTGGGTTTAGGTGTGTTTAGTCACAAAAGATTCTGTTTTTTTTTCTGAAGGCAATGAAACTGATCGCACCTAAATACAGGTCAACACACAGTGTGCGTGGCATCACTGTACAACTATTACATGTACTTATACAAGTTTAGAAAAGTACTCTGAATGCATATAAACACATTTGACAGTGCCAGTGTGAATGCGGCATAGTTTATCGAACACAGCAGCACTCACACACGGGACAGGCATTAACCACTTGCTGACCAGTTACAGTACATATACTGAGGCAGGTTGGTACCTGCAGGCAAAATGACGTACATCATTTTGCCTGCTTGGACTAAGGAGGGTGTTGAACACCCACTAGAGCACACAGCCCTCCCCTGCAACCACTGCATCTACTGTGGGGTTTTTTTATTCTTTTTAATACTGTCACCAATCAGTGTTCCTGATCACCTCCACATCAGTCATATGATGACATTGCACTGCACTGGTGACAGTATATAATAAAAAATTGTGAAAAATTACAACTTCAAAAAAACTCACCATGCCTTTTACTAAACACCGTAGACAGTCTACTTTCATTTGGGGGTATTTGTATTGTCCTGGCATTTTAGGAGTACATCACGGGACACAGAGCAGGCCATAATAATGACTATGTGGTTATATGTCGCCTATAGATGAATGGACAATGGTCGACCAATCAACAGGAAGTCCTCCCCCATAAAACCCCTCCTACACTTGAAGTACTCAGTTCTTGTAGCAAGCAATGAAAATCCAGAAAGAGGAGAGGGACCTCTGTGTGCTGTACTCCAAGAAATGGATTTTACAGGTAAGTAGGTAGAAAAAAAAAATCCAATTTTCTTTATCGTACCTCACAGGACACAGAGTGAGCCATAATAATGACTATGTGGGACGGCCCAAAGTAATAACCTTGTGGGGTGGGTGGCATCACAATAACCGCCGCCCACATCCCAAAAAGGAGCTATTCAGCTGTATGTAAAAATACTGAGGCCAAAGGCAGAATCCTCCGTGGCTCTGACATCCACTAACACTATGTGTTCCAAGTTCTATAATGTTCCTACAAACTAGCTTCCTAGCGTTCTGACACTCCCCCCTATTTTTCAAGATTTGGGTTTCAACAGCCATGCCATCAAATTCAGTGACCTATATTGCTGGGTGCAATATAGGTCCCTGAGATAGCAGGTCTGACTAGTCTGACAGAGGCCATGGACCACTGCTAGCCTGACAATGTCCACGTACCAACATCTCCTGGGCCAAGCTGGAGCTACTAATATCACTGGAATCACCTCGTCTTGAATCCTGTGTAATAGCCGCAAGAGTAGCTGAATCGGGGGAGAAGCATATATTAGGGAAAACTAATCCCACAGTATCACCAAGGCATCTAACCCTAGCGCAAGAGGGTCCCTCGTCATGGACACAAACCTGTCCACCTTGCTGTTGAACCTGGACGCCAATAGATCTACATCCGGGTACCCCCAATGCTGGCAGATTGCCATGAATACCTCAATGCAGAGCTCATTCCCCCTGAAACAACCGCCGACGACTGAGGTATTCCCCATGCCAATTCTTTACAGCAGGAATGAATACTGCTGACATAACTGGAACATGCCCTTCCGCCCAAGCCAGAATGTGATCTATCTCCTCTTGAGCCCTCCAGCTCTTGGTACTGCCTTGGTGGTTGATGTATGCCAGTGCAGTAGCATTGTTGGACTGGACTCTGACTGGCCAACCATGAAGCCTGATTGTCCAATATCTCAGGGCAAGCCGCACTGCCCGAAGCTCAAGAATATTGATGGGAAGGATATTTTCCTGAGGCAACCATGTCCCCTGGACTGTAGACCCTTCTAGAACAGCCCACCCAACCCGAGAGGCTGACATCCGTTGTTACCATCTTCCAAATCACTGGTGGGAAATATCTTCACTTTTCCAAATTCCGCACTTCCAACCACCAATTCAAGCATCACAGCACCCGGGGGACAAAGACATGCGATAATCCAGTGCTGGAACCTTTTTGTTCCATGTCGACAGAATATTCCTCTGCACAGGCCTTGAGTGGAACTGTGCATACACACCACATTTTTTCTCAAGCTTGGACCAGACTGACCCCTGAGCAGTAGATCATCCGAATAGCCCAAAATTGGTATTCCCAAAGTTCTGAGCAGCCCCAGAAATGGAACGAGAATCTTTGTCTAGACTCGAGGAGCCATGGCTAGCCCAAAAGTTAGTGCCACAAACTGAAAATGTTGATTCTCTGTCACAAACTGAAGAAACCTTTGATGAGATGGAAACATTGGCACATGCAGGTATGCATCCTTGATGTCTATGGACGCTAGACCGGACTGACTCCATCTGAAATGAACAAATCTTTAAGAACCGGTTCAGCCCCTTTAAGTCTAAAATAGGCCTTACATCCCCATTCAGCTTCGGAACTATAAATAAGTTTGAATAAAATCCCTGGAACCTTTCATCCGCTGGAACCTCCACAATCCCACCCTGGGACAAGAGCCGGTCAAGTGCCTGAAACAAAGAATTCCTACTCAATTAATTCATGGATATATTAGACCTTAAGAAATGGGGATGAGGAATTCCCTGAAATTCCAGTTTGTACCCCTAAGCAACTGTAGCAATGACCCACTTGTCCTGGATCAGCTCCTCTCAGATTTCCGCAAAAAATAAAAGTCTTCTCCCCACCTGCACGAGTGGGGGAGCCCCTTCATAATAAAGCAGACTTAAAATCTGACTTGGTGGGCTTCTGCACCCAGGGTTTCTTTTGGCCCTGGCCCTGAAATTTTCCCTTAGACACAGGGCCCTGCGTACGGAGAAATGTTTGCCTACCAGAAGAAGCACCAACCACCGAAGTGCCTGGCCCCTTAAAGGTCGGGTGTCTGGACTTTCTCTTAAAGAGTAAAAGCATACTTTTCCCCCCGAGATCTTTTCGATATACTTGTCTAGGTCATCCCCAAAAAAACGTTCTCCATGAAAGGGAAACCCGGCCAACAATCTTTTGCATGGTAGTTCCGCCGCCCAACTCTTTAACCACAAGATCCTGCGCATGTATACCGACAGAAGGGCATCAAACAAAACACAAGGCCTATGGTAAATCTGCCAGATCCACAGCCATATTCTCCTCCAACATAGATGGTCTTTTAACCACCAGTTTAACACGGTCATTCAGACCCTGACAAATACTGATAGCAGCAACCGGCCAGGGAAAAAGAAGCGTTAGTTTAGGGCCTCCTAAACTAATTTGCATTCCAGTAGGTAAGCTGACCATCTATCTTAGGCAGGCCATACATGATTCATTTATTTTGCATTTCAACCAGCGGGTTGAATGGAAAAAAAAATTAACCACTTTCCTCATCCACACATTCAAGGTGAATGGGGATCATTCCCTCTAAGCTAGTGTTCTGCTGTCTGGGAGCCTTCTCCGCCAACAGAATACAATGATCAGTGTTGCCGGCTATAGCCATCAGCACTTGTTTGGGAAAAATCGAACAGGCTGCCTGTATTGGGGGGGGGTACAACTGGGGGAATCAATGGTGGAGAAGGATCAGGGAGTTCTGGTAGATCACAAGCATCATAATGGCATGCAATGCCAAGCTGCGATTTCTAAAGCGAGCAAAATCTTCTCTTGTATTAAAAGAGGTAAAGACTCCAAAGAGAGAGATATCATATTACCCCTGTACAAATCATTAGATATACCTCATCTGGAATATGTAGTTCAGTTTTGGGCACCAATTCACAAAAAGAACATTGAAGAACTAGAGAAAGTACAGAGAAGATCAACCAAAAAAAGAATATTGAGGAACTAGAGAAAGTACAGAGAAGATCAACCAAACTGATACAAGGCATGGAGGAGCTCAGCTATGAGGAAAGATTAGAGGAACTGAATTTATTCTCTCTTGAGAAGAGGAGATTAAG